GAGTTTATCGATTACCAGAGTGTTCTAAGTTGTCGTAAAATTGTCCTGACCCTTTCGATTCTCATATCAGAGCCTTCGATAATTGTATATCGATCGAAATATAAGAGCTCGACGCCATTTTGGTTCTGGTCTGGACTGAGTTAAAAAATTTGTTTGAAAAATCCAAATTCTCAATGTGTCAGGACAATTCTTAGATGACCAGGAGTGATGTGCCAAAGTTTCGGACAGTTCGGTCTAATACCCTTAAAAAAAAGTGTTGCATTCGAATCGACTGATTCGAAGAGGGTCTCACTTCACCTTAAAGGCGCAATCGCGAGCGCGTAGCTCGTCTTAACGCGCGGCTTATCGACGATTCCAGGGGCGTGCAATCACCGGACTCCGACTCGCGATTCCGCGTCCCTTTAGTCGTGAAATATCGTTGGCGTTACGGTAAACTCGAAGGAGGTTAAAATACGTAAGCTCCGGCGCTTTATGACACGTCGTAAATTCGATCGTCTGTACTTTTACTTGGTCACTTGAGGCCGCGCTAAGGGGGGATCTCTCTCGTGGCTCGTTAATGGAAAACGCTCGGCGGCACCGCGGCCAGTCCTATAAAGAGACCGCTTCGGAACGACCGACCAGCCCAGAACTGGAATTATGATTTTCATTCACTAGCCGTCTCCCATTCATCGATCCACCGAGAAACGAGATCCGAAAACGTAACCATGACAACTAGGCACAAACGACGCGGCCTCGGTAAGTTTCCTAACGAGTTCCAAATTCGATTTAACCGTCTCCCCCACCCCTCCTACCTCGAGAATCCAATTTCAATTCAACCTCGTAACAAAGAGCCATCGGTGAACCGTGATTTCCCACCATGACGCCACACTTCGCATGCGACGATCCCCCATTTTACTTGGTCGATATTTCAAAACGTTCGAAGAGTTCATTCCGACAATATTGGGAAAAAAAGAAAAAAAAAACGCGACCACGACCTCGTCAATGTAAAGCACATCGGACCTTCCATTTCTCGGTCCCAGGACCAACGTTACAATTCCATGACATATAATTTAACCAGTTATCTGTGATTGACAAGTATACTCGTCATGGAGAAGTGGCACGATTTTGTGTATTGACGAGTATACTCGTCATGCGTATACACTAGTGACCATTGGCTATTTAAATTTTAATTTTTGAGAAAAACAAAACATATTCTCAAATTTCAAGATGTTTAGAATATTTTGACGCCAGGCCGGAATAAAACAAACGAATAGAAAATATAAATAATTTGAGATAAACTCATGCGCCCCGTATGCACCGGCTGAAATAGCTTGCCACCTATTAGATATTATTTGTTTGAGTTCATATATATTATACAAAAAAAAAAAATAATGGAACGTTATCGCGAATGAATTTTTTGCTAGAATTTGTTGAGGACCCTATTGCATCGTATCCAATAACCCGGGAAAAATCGACACAAATTCGGCCATCTAGGCCTAATGTAATACAATTACTCTGGAATCATGTTCTGGATCATATACCCAGAACTTCGAATACAAAAAATCCTACCCGAAGGTGTGCACGTTGTTATAAACGCAAGATCAGGAAAGAATCCCGTTACTGGTGTTCCATTTGCAAAGTCCCATTACGTGTAACACCCTGTTTTGCCGAATACCACGCCACGGCAGGAATTTAAATTCTTGCTATCGTATGCATTTAATTTCTCTTGCGTTTTTCGTCTAATAAGTATGTAATATATGTTTAAGTTAACCAAATAAATATACATTAGTAATAAAAGTGTCAATTTTATAAAATAAACCCATCTTTTTGATCCAGTATCTTAACAGCGACACTTACTCTGTGATTGACGAGTATACTCGTCATCGCTCGATTTCGGCGACACATATAGGTGCACGCTCGCCAAAGGGGGCGCCACAGCTAACTGGTTAAAACAGGTAACGATTAACAGATTTTAACGTCACCGTAACGAAGGTGCACGAATCAATGTATTCCCTCGCAACGACCGCTGTTTAATTAAGTAAATAAATAATCTGAATACTGGGAATTCGTTTGCGTCCTGCGCCAGGATATTTGTCGTACTGTGTGGGTGAGAGTAAAGCGACGACCTGAATTGGTTGAAACCTTCCGTAACTTCGATTCACAATTGCCCGAAGCTTCCGTGGTTCGAACTTAAGTTATTCAAGAGCTTTGAAACTGTAAGATCCATCGTGGAAGTTTCAATTGAAACCGGATCTTTCGAAGTTCTCGCTGGAATTACAGCGTCTATCCGAATTCATATAATTCGCGGCATCCTAAATCGTAACACCCGGTTTTCGCATTTCCAGTGGGTTGTCGGAAAAGTCATGACGCATTTCTCTATGCCATCTGTTATGACAATGCGTCATGACTTTTCCGACAGCCCAATATATCGACCGTATTTTTTAAATATAAATTTTATTTAATTTAATTCCAGTTAGAAGTTCGACGGACATCTCAGTTCCTCGTCTCATTTTCCAATCTACTGCGGGAAACTATCCAATTTCCCGATACCCGTACATTAGCGTTTAGAGGAAAACACGTCTAGCAATTTAATAAATGTCGGAGCTTTACGAAACTACGATAAATTCGCATCGTAAGGAGGCGTCTTCGAGCCTGCCTTTAATTTCTTACAAGGAAGATATCTGAGGTGTCCCCCTCCGATTTTGTTCATTTTTAAATATGTTATAGAGGACTAAAATCTAAGGGACCCGTGTTTTTTTTTTATCGGCGGATAAACACTTTTAGGGGGTGAAATCAGGCTTCAAAGTTGGCCATGCAAGGGGGTGAGTTGGCTGTTTCATATAGAAGCACTTTACCGATTTTCATAAAACAACCGTCAAAATGTAGGAAATGAGAATTATGAAACATGCATTTGGAATTTTTCGAAAAAATTCATTTTTAAGGGGTGAGCTACCCCTTTGAATATTTCTTTTACCCCTTACGCGAGCAGTAATTGCTCTATCCAGATGAAACTTGGTTAATTTATAGACCAGAACAATACAAAAAAAGTTTCATTTGGATAGAACAATTACTGCTCGCGTAAGGGGTAAAAGAAGTATTCAAAGGGGGGACTCACCCCTTAGAAATGAATTTTTTCGAAAAATTCCAAATGCATGTTTCATAATTCTTCATTCCCTACATTTTGACGGTTGTTTCATGAAAATCGATTGAGTGCTTCTATATGAAACAGCCAACTCACCCCCTTGCACCGCCAACTTTGAAGCCTGATTTCACCCCTTAAAAGTGTTTATCCGCCGATAAAAAAAAAAACGAGTCCCTTAGATTTTAGTCCTCTATAACATATTAAAAAATGAACAAAATCGGAGGGGGACACCTCAGGTACTTTCCTTGTTAGTGTCCCATTTGGAACACCGGAAGCATCGGGAACTTGTTCGAACGATCCTAGGAAGTGTTTCTGAGACTGTGAGATCATTGTTTTCCACGGCTGCGATCCGACGTAATATAAAAATACCACGAGCTTTCGTCACATCCCGCAAAAGAGATTATAGTTTTCTTCACTTCGCGCTATCTTCAACATTTTCTCCCTCTCTTTCTCTCCCTCTCTCGTTCACTTTCTTTCACTCTCCCTTTCTCCCGTCGAGTATCGAGATTATCGTTAATATGTTTCATGGTTCACGGTTTCCCTGGTGCGAGAAAACGTCGTCGGTTTTGCTCGTACGTCGTGCTCTTGGTTCCGGGCCTCCGGGACCTCGTCTCTCCTTCTCTGAAATAGTTCCTTCTTCGGCGGCATTTTTCTTACGTTTCGACGACCGAGGAGCTTCCCTCTTCGTTGCATTCGCCGCGCTCGATCATGCGTATAAATAAATAAAAAGCTCGGGATGCCAAGAAGTCGCTCTCTCCGTTACGTTGCCACGCGATGCCCAGGAATCGACTCGAGTACTTCCGCCACAGCTGTACATACGCGTACAAAATACTGCTCATTTTTCAAAATAAGTCCTGCTTTTGGTATACGATATTTCTGGATACGTAGCTTTCTTTCTCTCGAATTCGACACTTGAAAATATTTTACGAAACTTTTCCATTAAACTGATTTAGTCTCCTGAACATTGGTTTCAGTGGAAAAGTTGAAACAAGTTAATACCATTAACGGGGAAATATTTTCCAGACCTCAAAAAAAAAAAAAAAATCAGTAATCACCGACCGAATCGACACGTTCCAATTTAAGCAATTCCTGTTTCAACTTTCCGAAGTGAAATTCCAGCAGGGAGCCAGTAATTATATCATTCCAAATATAAACTCGGTTTAGATCAAGCTTCAAGTGCCAGTGGGGCAAGGCGCAACTGGCTCAAAGTCATCATAAGCACCCTCGGGATGATCTGCTGCTGAAACTGCGTACTGAAACGTGTAAAGTGCCCGCAACTGGCCATTCCCGGCAGACGCCAGTGCCATCTGTGGAGCCGTCTCGAATGATCAGGGCACACGTAGGAGACACTTGGGACAGAAACTTCGTACGATTACGAGGACATCGCGTAACTGGCGCGAACGAATTACGCTAATTTATATCGGCTCTCGACGCACGACCGTCAGTAACGAATACTTAATTGTACCTACATAAAAATGAGAAAAGAGAGAAATAAAAAAAAGAAGATGAAGAACAAACACGCAAGTGGAATTTTCGCTATAACATAATTCGCCAATGGTAGATCGGTCGAGTACCCACCGCATACAGTTTTACAGAAAATCCGACTCAAAGACCTCTACAACGATATCCAAATACTTAACAAATACATCCAATTAACTCTTTAACAAATATGTTCAATAGAGCTTGCTGGACGAACTCAAAACGAACATTTGCGAAACTTTTGGCAGTCGGTGATCGTAATGCCCGGGTAAGACGTATTTTCTGACGTTCCAATTGCTTCTCTTTGCCTCCTTATTTGAAATCAATTTAATGCAAAACTATTTTCAATGGGTATCCGGCTCTGGTTGACGGCGACAACTATACAGGCGAGAGACTCGTGGATGTTTTCGCATCTCACGGTCGACGGTGCGGTACTTCAGGAAACTTCAAAGTCCGTTAAACAGAAAGCCATTTCAGACTTCGGAGGCCCGATGACCTTAACTGAGCCAGGATTCGCCAAAGAGCGCGAAGCAAAGTCACGATTTCGTCGATATTATCCAGGGTTGGCGCTTTTCTCCTGATTCGGGCAAAAACTCATCTGGTTGTTTCGGGTCCTACTTACACAAAAGGAAAAAGAGAGAAAAAAAAAGAAACGGAATATTTAAGAGATTTTAAGAGTTTTCTTTACATCACAATTGGAACAAGTTAATATAAACAGAGCTATACGAAAAATGAAAATGTCTACTTTGATAGCATACGATGCAAAGACATGAAACACTCTTCTAAAACGCGACAACTTCTCATCTCTTTATCCCCGTTCTTCGTATGTATGTACAAATTTCACGTAAATCTCATTAAATGCCGTTTCATGGATTTTCAGTCACATCTAATATATTGCTACCATTTTCTGTTGTAATATAACGAAGAATTTCGTCCATTTCCTAAAAAAAAGGTTGCCCGAGGAGTTCTAAAAGAAAATAAATAATTAAAGAATACTTAATAAAATTCACCGGTAAGCTGAGATTGTTTATATCGCGAGCCCGGACGTTCTCCAACCCTGGTATTACAAACTAACAAAATAAGTGGCCCGTTTCGCTTTTGCAAAGTCGACTTCATTATGTTTCTTCGTATGTCGTGGGTCTCTTATATTAACGTTATATCAATGTCGCGAGTTCTTATCCTTTTTTAGGCCATGTCCTTAATTTTAATCGATGCCGAAATATAATTCTAGTGCGAAGCGATCGAGTGAAACCGAGTCTTTAAACGCTTTAATATTATACCTAGAAATATTGCTGCCCCGATGACTTTGGTTCCAATTGAATGTACTCATTTACAATGGACAAACTTTATACCCTCGAATTTCGGAGCGCTTCCAGAACGAGTTTTTCCGGTATGAAATGTATAATTCCTATCGAGGGCAGAAAGTATTTCTTCTACGTAATCGTCAGCTTTGACGAAACGAAAGAAAGAAAGAAAAAAAGGAAAATGAACCGGGAAGCCGAGAAAACTCGTTTGCAGTAAGTGCCAAAATTCGACGATTTATAAATTTACAAACCTTCTTGACTCGTGGGACAAGTCGGCGAGGCTTCTTCTTTACAAGCACGATTACCTCTCAGGATTCTCGTTCGAGGTCCGAGGGTGAGAGTACAAGAAGCTCGACGTTATCTTTTGATATTGGCTGGCAGTTACGGTAACGCGTAAGTCTGACATAAAGCGCTCCTCTTTCCTCAACGCAGCTGCTAGGACTCGACATTCTCAATAACGAGTTCACTCTTGTTTTCAATAGACAGGGTCGGAGATTAATAATTGCCAGCCTGTCCCACGAGACTGGTTTGCACCTGAAAAAGAGAATTTTCACTTTAGTAGAAGAAACGACGACGCAAGCTATTTACATTTTACGTGTTAGGATTGATCAATCAAAGCCCAAAATAACGTCTCGGTCGCCTTTGGAAGTAGCCAAATAGCCAATGACAATTAAATTTTCACCGTGGGAAAATTCGGAACGACAAAAAGTATCTAAAATCTCATCGTAAACGTTTAAAAACCGCGGTCCAGATTTTGTATTCCATCTCTTAGACACGTGGCCCATGTACCCGTCCACGCTAAACACGATGAGTTCAACGGTACAGTTCTTCATAGCGATTACCCTAACGTTAATTATTACGAAACAAATTCAACATAGATCCTTTAGATACAGTGGCCGAAATTCGTACAACGTAGGCTTATTTTTATATATCAACAAAGGTTCAATGTTTCATATCGAATATCCTTGGACAATTACACCGAGTCCCGATTGGGCTTGGCTCGACCAGCGAAGGAATACCGCTCATCGATCGAACCTTAAGGACCTGATAATGAACATTAATTTAATGGTCAATCAATTATTCAACTAATTCCTGCGACAGTGAAGACTTGATATCGACCCTCGACAAAGCAGTCGACGACAAGTATTGGCCATATCACCGACAGGAAGAAGAAAACTCGCCGTCAAGGGGCAGAATCCTCATAATTGATTCGTCAGAGACATTAAATACCGTAGACTGAAGAACGATCATCGACCAAGTCGAGCTTGCACGTTCCAACGTTGTTCAAATTGGCAAAAACTGGCTAACTATATGTATACCTATACACGCATCCCTTTGACAGCCGTATATGTACAATTGCAATTCTCCTCTCCCCACGTGGTCGGTTCGTCCAATCCAGCACGTCACTCCACCGAATGTCCACGACTTCTCCACGGTCACGGGGAATGCCAGAGAGGCATTCCGAGCACGCTGCTCTCGCTGCGAATACATACATCATATATTTTAAGAGAATAATCGAGGGAGTAGGTACAAAAATCACAATGGTTTGTTTAGGAAAAATATCCCGCCGGACGAACGACCATCCGTGCGACTTAAATGCCGTTCCGCCTAATAATTATACGATATTTTTACATCCTTTTCAAGGATTTCACAAAATCAATGGACCGTTATGCTTACGTATGTATGTCGTGTGTTTGGCTTTACTCTCGTGTACGGGTGTGTGTGTGCGCGCGTGTGTATATATACATGAATAGTCCGACTCGTAAAATGAAATATCCTCTGTGGATGACAAACATATAGGAGAATTATGTGTATATATACCTACAAGAAATCAGAACATACATGCTTATCGCACGCAGCCAATTGATTTCGCCATTGGTGAAAATGACTTGAAACTCGCCAACCGTCAATTTCTAACGTTAAGTAGAATCTCTTCGTTCTAGGGATCGTTCCCTAGCAGTGTCGGTATATATCGAGGAGCCACCGCAGCTCTGTGTCGAACGAGTAATTAGAGCACGATGATAATTCAATGGAACGAAACGTACGGACTGTTCGCAGGTAAGTGCATCGCGTTTCATCTAGATGTACGTTCTTGTGCAAAGGCATTAGAACACCGCAGGGAGAACCCTTAGATGTTTCCACCCGTCGAGTAGAATGGAAACGCTCCAAACTGGAAGTTCACTGGAGTTTTGGGAGACGCGCACGCATAGAGGAAATCGTCCGACTGTAGCTGTGTGCGGTTCAAGTTTGGCTCGGAAGCCGATCTCGTGATCTTAGGCAAGCTGCGTATCAAACTTTCAAGGGTCGCCAGAATCTGCCTAAATATCGGTCTCTCCTCCCTCGAGTACTTGATGCAATCTTCCGTCAACCTTCTGAGGGCCTTCGGCGTGTCGGAACGTAGTTTGTTCAAGTCAGGACCCAGATATCCTCGTCCAACCATGAATAGGATTTGATCTTTGTTATTAATATTCGAGTACGGTAGCTGGCCAGAAAGTAGCTCGAAGAGAACCACTCCGAAGGCGTAAACGTCTGACTGAAAGCTGTAGGGGTTTTCCTCTTGCATTCGAATAACCTCTGGAGCCATCCATAGGATGGACCCGGTCGGTTGGTGGAACTGTTGGGATCCCGACCATCTTGTTTTTGCAGTGGCTAGTCCGAAGTCTCCGATTTTCACGGTGAGGTCGTCGTGCAGGAATATATTGTTGCTCTTAAGATCCCGATGAATGATATTCTTTGCGTGCAGGTAGTCCATTCCTTGTGCGGTCTGTCTGCCGATTTCTATCAGGGTGAGCAGCTCGAACTTTGTTTCGAACACGTGCAGATGTTTATACAGAGAAGATCCCTCGCACCACTGCGTCACGATTGCTAGTTTCGGCTTGCTGGCACAGCCCATAAATAGTAAGATGTTCACGTGACGAGTTTTACGGAGTACCGCGACTTCGTTTTTGAAAGCTTGCAACTGCGCCATTGTTGGGATCTTCACGTTAAGAGTTTTCACTGCCACGGGGCCGTGCCAGTGCGCCTTGAACACGGTCCCGAAAGATCCAGACCCAATTCTGGGACCTACGAGGATCTCGTCCGCAGGAATCTCCCAGTCCTCTATGGATTCACGGGGTGGCAGCAGATTTTTCGACGATTCATCCGCAGATCTTGCACGCGGTCGTTTGGGCCTCAAAGTACTGGTAGGACTCGCTTGCGTGGATTGACTATGTTTCGTGGGGCTGCTTCCAGGAGACACCGGACTCTGCGATGCTCCCAGTGGCTGGCCAAGACTCTGCGACCTAACGTAATCATCCAGATTAGAATCTCCTCCAGGTTTTACCATGTTGAAGCAAACATTGGGGGCAGAGCTGGAACGGTCCTGTTGTCCCAAGGATCTCGGATGTCTTCGATCGCTTCGCACCGGTGCCAAAGACGGGGACATATTCCGACCCAGTCCATATTCCGAAGGCAGCTGAAGAATCCCTGCACTGGTTTCTGGATTGTGAGCTAACAATGCCTGATAGTACGCATCCTGCATGCGAACCTGATGACAGAGCGCCGGCACGCCACCTGCGCATCTCTGATGAAATCTATAATTACAGGTTCTACAGTAAAATCCTTGAAAGAGCAACTTTTGACAGCACTCGCAGAACGCCAACGAAAAGAATGTTTTGCGAACAAAATTATGCGAGATCGAAGTGGTGATCGGGAACTTGTCCAGGATCTCGACCGAGATTTCGTCACACTCCAAGGAGGAGATGTCGGTGTCCCAGGGAATGGGCACCCTGGTGTTGTTGGACCCGATTACATACACGACGCACATCTCGGTCGTGAGGTTCCTAAGTTTCATCGCTCTGGCCAGAGCGTCTCTGAGCGACATGGCCTCTCGTACTTGCACGCTGGTCCGCTGCTGATTCGGTAAGTGAGCTCTGAGCAGAGACTTCAGCGGAGTCCTGGGTGACCTGAACCTCGAGGAGCTCTGTCCGTCCTCCGGCCCTGCCCCTGTCGAGGCATTCAGGAAATCAGTGAGCTTCTGCTCCTTAGACTCGAGCTCGTGCAGCTTGCTCGTCAACTCTTGATACTCGAGGAGGTAAATCGAGGGAGGTTGCTGGAAGCCCGCGAACTTATTGTTTAGGGCGTCGATATTCCGGCGGATCAAGTGGATGACGCTCTGGATGTTCCTCTGCTCGTACCTGAGCGGATCCGTGTCCAGGTAGACGTCCTCCGGGTCGCTCAGCTCGGCCGGCTCGAAGTTCCTGGGGCACGACATCGCACCGCCCCTGCGCGTGCCGCGCTCTTCGGGTCGACGAGGCGACAACGACGAGGCCGAGGACGAAGGCGAGAAGCACGCGAGGACGCCGCTCCCGCGACGGGAGAACTCGATGAGTGCGTTCACACGGGCCGGGTACCTGGCCTCGCCGATCACGGCCATCTTCTAGCGCCGAGCAGCATCGCGGGCCGCGGTCCGAGGGCTCTCTAACCTGTCCTGCCAGCCCGGGCGCCGGCTCCGCTCCCGCTCGCGCACCTCCCGGCTTACCTCGGCCGACCTGGACGATTCTTCTCGGGGTCCTCGACGTCCGCCACTGCCAAAACGTCTACCGCCGCGGTCGAGTCCCTGCGACGCCGAGAACCGCGGCATACCGTGCCACCAGCTGCGCGTACCTTCCACGCGGATCTTCCGCGAGTCGAGCGCCGCGCCGACCCCTCCTCGCTCCCTGGCTCCTCGGAGCTCGAGGGTAACTGCCAGCGACCGTCCCGACTGCCTTTCACGAACAGCGACGCGAACGGACGCGGAGCGACGCGAAACCCGTGCTCGCCTCTGATCTGCGCCACGGGGCTGCGCGCCAGCGGTCGCCGATAGACGCCGGGCCCGCCTGAGCCCCGAACCGACCCTCCGCGCTGCCGCCTCGCGGCGATTCGCGGAAGCGCGCTCTTCGATTTTCCCGCCCACGCGCGATCTCTCCGCTGCCGCAGCCCGGAGTGCGGCTCGAATCGGCTCGAACTCACGGTTTCCCTGGTGTTTTCTTTCAACCTGTTGGGTTTAGCTACCGATTAATCTTTCATGGGATGAAAACTGCGATGACTTCGTCTCCACTAAATGTTTGGTCTGCGACGATGCGTTATCTTAGAAAACTTCGAACGTTTAAAGCGTTTAAACGTGCTGTTATCGTAATCCGATTGACGGCACCGAGCTACTCGATTCTCAACTCTGTGGGAAATCTTTAAACCGTGGAATTGAAGAATTATTTGTCCTCGCATATCGTTAATCTTTAGCTTTTGTCAACACTCTTCGTTGCATCGCTGTTGTCCGTTCCTTCATTCCTCTGTGCATATGTAACGTAATGTCCGTTACGGAATTAGATGCACTTAATGCACAGACGTCAGAAAAAGGTATAAGATGTCCCCCCTAATATGGAGTCGTAGATTTTAAAAATATCGTTAATGTTTTAATTGGACTTATCTAGGACCCCGAAGAGACTTATTAATTTCAAAATATCACCATTATGGTTGTGTTAACGACTGTGCAATTCTGGTCTTATTATTAAGGATTAATGTTCATGTCTGGGATAATATGAAATTATTTGCACACAAAGATATATTTATCCGATACAAATCGTTGGCGCACTGCTTTTGAAAAATAACAAATCCAATTTAAGATTTCGGCTCCTAGCTCTTTCCACTACATAGATATTTCAGGATTGAAACAAAACTTTATCACCCGACGTTATCGAATGTAAAGGTAAAATGTCGCCGTGTTCATTCGTTAACTTTTTACAATTTGTGGTCTTATTATATAAAACTATTGACAACTTCTGCAGGCACACGTTTAGCCAAGAATATTAATTCTCTAATCAAGAAAGCAGCATAACTGTATAAAAGTGCAAGACTTTAAAACGATCTCATGGCCCGCGCTGGTCGCCATCTTGTTTCCTTTAGCCTGTATATAAAAAACATGACTAAAGACGTTATTCAAATATTCAGAAACCTAATGCAACTTTTTCTGTATTAAGTCAGAATGAATTCTCTCTTGCATCGATACCGAGCAATAACGACGGATTAAGATTACAGTAACAGGAAAAGAAGTCACCCGCAACCCTCGTCAAGTCCCATGCAATCGTACGATTTATCGCGATTTCTCTCGAGGAAATAAAGAATCCGTTTATAGAAATCCGCGCGATGGGGTTTCGGGAGCTCTCGGGACAGTTCGGAGCAGCTCGGGCACGTTTGGACACGTACGGAGTGGCACGTGCGTGCATCGGAGCGTCCCGGCCGTGTGACGTTACTTCGAGTCAATCGATCGTTCCTTTTCTCTAGGGTGGCCTCACGTTATTGTCACACAGAGCGAACGATCGGGCTTTCGAAACTGCTACGTCGACGGACCGCGGTTTAATTACAGCGAAGAACTCGTCCTCGCATCGAGCGGAGCCCTGCGTTTCGAAGAGCACACCCACGCTCTCGCCTCCTCGATGAAAAAGCCGGGCGGAAAGACAGAAATCGAGAGGGAAGGGAAGAACCCTCTCGAGGGGATTATCATTCTTATTTCCAGGCCTTTGGGCACTCTCGGATTATTCGGAGATCGACACCTGAAGAAGGCAAGTACAATTTCTCCGTAAACACGACCACTTGCGATGCACCCGCTGACGTCAACGCGGCTGCAATGACGTCAGCGCGCCCATGGTACCGTCGCCATGACGATGCCGCGCGCTCTTGATTGCCCTTGTCCGTTACACCTACGACCCGGCGAGAAATCAAAAGAGGGTTTATGTCTTAAGAATTGCGCAAAGATGTGCCACCCTCAGCCGTAGATCCATTTTTAAGTCGAGCCTATGGAGAGGTTGACGATTGTGAATTAATTATGCAGAATTAAAATATATCGCGTAAGTGGCGGCATGTGTATAATGGTTGCTCGATAGAAGTAGGTAACGTTATCTTTACTTTTTAAATGAATCTGAAATAGAACGTTTTATGAGACGATCATTAGTACTTTTTCGTCAACTTCACCGGCCTTTGCTCTTTAATATCTCGTGGGATGGAGAAAAGGTATTATTTGACATTTTTTTAACATTTGATCCCTCTAGTAATACAGATGTTATATTGGACACAAAAAGAACTTAAGCCTACCAGGTATGGGAATATTTTGAAATATATATTTGAAATTGCAAGGGTTTTTCTCAACGCGTTTTAATGTTTTTAGATTATTCTGGTGGATTTCCAGCTATATTTTGCGATGTAAGTGGTTTAACTAATTTGCCTGTCAGCGAAGAGGTTTTTTCAAATTACGGGGAAAATGACATTCATTTTCATTTATGTAGTATAATGTTAATATCTATCAGGTCTTTATTACATTTTTTGTATTCACTTCAGTGTATAATGTAGCAACATTGCAGCGGTTATCACATAGAATCTTTAGGTGCTTATTAAGTACATGAGTGTATGCGGTACGTTCTGCGCATGACAGGTGGAGCCATTTTCGTCCTGATGTTACAAGAGTTTACATTTAACTTGTTGAATGCGGTTTCTTTGCATCTTTGCTTTGCATTTTGAGAGAACCGATGTTATAAAATCTGATAAAATCTGCCATGACGGTTCCGCTGGATTCCACGAAATGTTATGACAGGATAGCGTTCCATTTTACATTCAAAAATAGCTTTAAGCCTATGATTGTCGAATATTCTAACGAGTCCTCACAAATCCTTCAAGTTAGATACTTTACATTTATTTTTTCTTCAAAATTAGATACTTCCCACAATCCTGGTGGACTTCATTCAAAAATGGACTCATGACTTGGCGCAATATTTTTTAAGATTTTTTGTATAACAACGTATGCTCCTTGTTGGCAATGACTAATTTTTTATGAGTTTCATATTTATATTGTATTGTTCGGTTCTGTGAAATTGGAAAATTGTATGTATAGATAACTGAAATAAATATATTTTCTGAATATTTTTAACATGCGCTTATTATTTAAAGAATCGATTTTCTGTTGTGAACCCCTGAAGCAATGAGAAAATTCAAGATCCATAAAATATGCGAAAAGGTTATCATCTTTATACCATGCGATCTTTCAATGTGTTATCAGTGACTGTTCACTTTGGTAAGTCAGTGAATCCAATATGTCGAATCTTGTCGCGGGAAAAATTGCCTTTGTCACTGGTTTGTATGAAGTAATTCTAGAAAAGGATTGTCGAGAAGCTTTAAAAATGAATTGACATGATAATCATATTGTGTTTATTTTTTTTTTTCTTCTAGGCGCTGGTAGTGGAATAGGTAAAGCTACGTGTCAAGCACTTGCTAGACAAGGAGCCAAAGTTGTTGCCGCTGATCAAAATTTAAAAACTGCAAAACAAACTGTTGATGATTTGGAAGGTATGGCACTATTTAATTGCAATATTCATAAAAACGGACATTTGTGCAAGATAAAAACAATCTACGAGTGAGACCACTGACTTCTAACAAATTATGTTGATGTTATTTTTTTTACTTGGATTATATATTGTGCATAATTTATATTAAGCTTTATTATTACATTTTTATTATATTCAGTCCTACTTCAAAATATTAGCATAGAGATACATGACATTAAACTTTAGGATCTGGTCACTTGCCAGTGGAAGTGGATGTGTCTTCTACTGAAAGTGTGAGCAATGCCTTTAAAAAGACTACGGAGCAGTTCAGACGGCCACCTACAATTGTGGTAAATTCAGCTGGAATCACCCGAGACAACTTTTTGTTAAAATTGAATTCTACAGAGTTCGATGACGTTATAAGTGTTAACTTGAAAGGAACATTCCTCGTCATACAATCTGCTGTGAAGGCTATGATTGAAGCTGGTACATCGGAAGGAGCCTCGATAATTAATATAGCATCTATTGTTGGCAAAACTGGCAATCTTGGGCAGTGCAATTATAGTGCATCAAAAGCTGGAGTTGAATCTCTGACGAAAACTGCAGCAATGGAGTTTGGAAAGTAAGGAAATTTTATTACTTTAATAGAACGTTACTAATGTGTAGCATCTTCAATTTTGTATGGATTTACTTTTGTTCTTATAGGTTTGGAATTCGAGTGAATTCCATTCTTCCGGGCATTATACAAACACCTATGATTCAAACGGTTCCTGATAATGTGAAAAAGATGTTTATCAGTAGAATTCCTTTAAATCGCTTAGGAAATCCCGAGGAAGTAGCAGAAGCAATATTATTCTTGGCATCAAATAAAAGTTCTTACATTAATGCAGCATCTATCGAAGTGACAGGAGGGATGCATTAGGTTTGCCATAATAATGTAGTCAATGGTTTTATATCCTTTTGTTTTTTTATAATATATGAAACATACAGACAGGAAGTAAATTGTTGAAGTTTATATTGAAACTTATATTTAGAAGTTAGTCATTTAATATTTAGACAATTTAATGATATCATTTCTTCTTTCCCTTTTTGAGTCTTTTTGCATGTTTGTGAGCTTTGTATTGTAATTTTTTCTTTTCATCTATAATTTCTTTGTACTTTCTTTTGTTATACTTTGAAAATTCTGCATCAGCCATTAATTCATCAACTATTGTACGTTTCCTCTCCTTCTTTGTGAGACGTCCATTATAATAATCCAATGGAGAATCAACCACTTTCCCAATTTGAAAGTATTTAGGAATAACCTTTAGATCGTTCTTCTTATAAAACCGTTTTGGATCCAGCACCGATCTCATTTGAATAATTTCCAAATCACGTTTTACTTCTTCCGTTACCTCGGTCGCAGGTAAATTAAACCATGCCTTTCCTTTAGTCTTTTCTCTTTCCCTACGTCTCTGAGCTCTAAGCCTTTTCATACTTTCATCATATCTTGGAACACACTCTAATTGTTCAAATCCAGGTTTTATAGCACTTTTTTCTAAAATTTTTTCTATTGGAGATATATCCTTTATTACCTTTATAACATTAATGGCATTTTTTGGCTGAATTCTTCTACGGTTCTTCCATCCCATTTCAGTTTCGAACTCGTCCAAATCTATGTCATTGTTTGTGCTTTTAAATTGTTTCTTTTTTTCCTTAAATTTCTTTATCTTAAGTTTGGTTGGATCAAAATCTATAAGAATTATTGCATTATAGGTGTGCTTATTAAAACCAAATTTAATTTAGTTTCCCTAAAGTTACTGATAAATCTTAAGAAAATAATTACCAGCATCATCAAACTCATGGTCGTCTTCATCAGCTTCATTTTCGCTATTAATATCACTATCAACATCACTTTCTATGAGTTTATCTTTTGTTAAAAGTTCGGGTTGTCCTCGCGTGTCGATTATTATATCCATCGTTGTATCGTCCATCATAATCAATTATAATTCGTGTGAACAGACCACATAAATTCTAACCTTACATATCAATGAATCGAGAATTCAGAGCCCAACACAGGTTAGAAGAAGTTAGAGGAAGTCTAGAACCGATGAGTTTATACCTACAGAGATGAGTTGGGAGATTGCTCACGGGCAGGGTCGCGCGATCGCATCGTGTGCTGCCCTCTGGTTTCGTACGTTAGCTTTCACCGTTTTTTGCCCCCAAGGGCAGCGCAACGAATTTCTGGTAGGGGCCAACTCATCTCTGCCAAATCAGAGATGAGTTGAGAGATTCACGGGAAGGATCGAGCGACCGCGTCCTGTTCGACCTCCGGTGGAGGATGCAGACGGCTAATGCACTTGCCACCTGTTACAAATCTGGGCAGCCGGATAACCGGCTGAAAAAGTGAAGAACTCCTCACAAAAACTCCAAAACCCTGTACCTCCTCCGAAAAAAATCGCAGCCACTAGCTCGAGAGGTCAATTTAAGCAGAACAATCTTCCTCATCAAGCTAAAAAAGTGATGAACTCCTCACAAAAACTTCAAACCCTGGGTCTCCTCCGAAAAAAATCGCAGCCACTAGCTCGAGAGATCAATTTAAACGGAACAACCTTCCCCATCAAGCTACCGTGGACGCAGTTCGCATCGCGACAAAAATTCACAAAGATCCTTTAACATATTTTAACATCTTCTACCAACAAGTGCAGAAAGCTCGATTTCGATTAACTGCCCATGATGATATTACCAAAAATGGCTGCTTCCAGGTGATCCACCTAAACCTGCAAAGGGGCACAAAAGTACAGGTAAAACGGAACATTGAAGAAACACCAGGAAGTCGCCAGATTCTCCGAAGTGGTCCATCTAAAGCTGAAAGGGAACACGAAGGCACAAACGAAACCATTGGAAAGCGAGAAAGAGACGGTCATACAAGTGCTAATAACTTACTAAAGTTACCATTAAAGTCAAGAATATTTCGCAGTGCATCGATCCCGTATAAATGACCCAGTAAAAATGTATTCAATTATACATTATTTGGCGTGATAAAAATCTAATATATTTATCATACTTAAATGCAGACTCGAGAAAATCTCATGGAAACGATAGTTCACCGTCTCTCCCCGTCAATCCGGACAGAAGAATATTAGTTATAAAATATATTCATCTAGAATGTAAAAATATTGGTGCTAGAAAGCTAGATTATCGTCAAAAGCGTTAATCCGCTACTACCGGATCGCGAGATATCTCGTCAAAAGCGTTGATCGGCCAGTATCGGGTTGCGAGATATCTCGTCAAAAACGTTAATCGGCCAGTATTGGGTCGCGAGATATCTCGTCCAAGGTAACGAAAGGGTTAATAGACCCGGAAGAGCGGAAACATGCGTATAATTTCAAATTTACGCCGAGGCCTAATCTTATTTTATAAGGGAGTAAATAAACGGGAAAGCGTAGGTTTAATTTATCTATTTCCAACGTACCGGCTTTCGAGAACGTTTTCCATTGAAATGTATTTGTTATATTTTATCTACTCCAAGTCGTGCGCTGCATCAGTCAGATGGAAAATGCGCATGTCAGCGTGTCCCGGCATCAGTAGCGACTACGCATGCGCATTGAATAAAAGTCGATTTGAATTTGTCTAGTCAACTTTCGATTCCCACAAAGGACATATAAAAACAGAACACACGCTTAATTCAAGCTGCAACCCACTCAACTTGCCGGTATGCATCGCGTTCAAATTTAAAATGTAGTGAACACGTCTCGAATGTCAACGATCAGTCTAGAGAACTTTCGCCAGTTTTTCTGACTGTGCGGATGGATTTATAGGTTACGTAAGGGTTGCTTCGTAAAGCATGGTTGGGATGCAACGAGTTGGTTAGAAATGCATTGTTTAGGGAATCGAAAAGTTTCAGTGAAATGCACGGCTCGAAATATGCATTGGCTACCTACCGGGTTATATCGATATACGGACGTAACTCGAAAGTCAGGTTAGGTTGCGTTACAGAAAACTCACTCGGTGCGAAAGGTGGGAGAGGTGGCACCGTGGGTGCAATATAACCGAACATGCACTTGATTCAAATGACAGTACTTCCCTATATAATGTGCGCCTCGGTTCAAGTTGATCATTTTTGTTCAATATTAATTTGAAAAATAGATTGTGATAAAGAAAAATTGTTAATTGAGTTAAATCGAACTCGGGAGGATGTCCCGCAAAGTGTATCGCGGTTGAAATTGAAATCGTTTTAAGCCGCGACAGTCAGTAAATTTGAAAGCTAAACTGATATAAATCATTTCACACCGGTAATGCGCATCGTTTTATAGAGCTACCGGAAGTTTAATTTGAAATATATAGACTAAAAATAAGGATACTGTAATTAAGTTTAATTACGATTCATTAAATTGATCTCGGGAAGTTTAATCCAACCGTCCTTAAGGGTCTTGGAAGTCGGAAAGGACTGATCGAATTTTCGAAAATATGTTAATCTCTGAGAAAATTTTATAATAATCTATGATGTAAAGAAAGAGTATCGCCGATATTTTAATCCTTTGTAGTGCCAACTCGTATTATATGACAAAGAGGTATTGACATGTTTTTATGAGTGAGAACGGTCAAGTTAAAAAAACTAAAATGACTCTGTTCTTTAATACACTTTTGGGTATTTTCTTGTGCGATTCGGTGATTTCGTTGAAACTCCTTGAAGCAACAGAGACTTCGAGAATAAGTGAATTAGAAAATATTAGCGCCTTTCAGAATGATCCTATCGAGGAGAAGATTAACTCCAAGAAAGGCAGAGCTATTTTGCCATCCGTGGAATTTTGGCCACAGTCAAATAATTCAGACATCGTTACCGATAACGAGGATGAACCGATCGATCTTGACAAATTACTGGAAGTTTGGAATCCGAAATCTGTAGCAAAAAATTGGGGGTTTCGACGTGCGAAGCAAATCAACGTTTCTACAAGATGCGATGATGACGTCACTCGATATTTATCAGGAGTGTTACGTGGTGAAAAGTGGGCTTTGAAAAGTAAGCATCAGTTGAGTGCGAACAACAATTTAATATAACACATGACTTAAAGAAAGGAAGACATTTAAAATTTAAATTGATTTAATTGTTATTACCTTCCTTGCGGAAGTTATCTACATTCAGATGGTGTTTTAGGTTTTGTTTTATCTCTGATCTATAAAAGAAATTTAACTTATGATTTAAATTGACCCTTTGAAAGTGATTAAATTTTATATTAATTTTATCCTTACTAGAGACCTGGCTTCGTACGTGAGCAATTTTTGTTTAGTTTGGTTTAGGCATCGTAAGCGTTAACGTTTCGTTAACTTACGTCACTTGAATCGTCTATGCAAGGCTCCCTCTTATCATAGATTAATGTTTCATACATCTAGACTTTCCTAGAGAGATGTTCTATAGAATAGTGTAAACCGCATCAAAATCCACTTAATGGTTCTCGAAATTAACACGAATACACAGACAGACCGGGGACTTTATTTCATACTATATAGAGATGTATTTAATTATAATGGGGTTTTGCTTTGAGGTAGTTTTTATTCATGTTGGCAAAGAGCAATTTTTATTATAAGCATAATCGTAATACGTTATGCAATATACCGAAGCACATGGAAGGCGATATGAAATAAGGAAGACAATTATCGGCACACACGGTAAGAAGTGGGTCGTAAAGTGAGTGGTATTTCGAATACGTAGAAAAATGGGTGAAAACCCTAAAATAAAGTTCCCGGTGTAGAGTATAAAGTTTTCGAAATACCTGCATGCCTTTAAGTGTTAATCTTAGTAATTCATGAAATTTCTTGTGCCATGGCTGGGGAATTATTGTTTTCATGCATTCCAAGTACATGAATTGTTTAGTCACTAGATTTGGGAAACGTTTAGAGTTCATATTCTAAGAGATTTTCTCGAACAGTAAATGGTGTGGCATTCTGGTTTCATACGGGAATGACAAGTACTCATTAGGAGTCACGTGGTAATCAGGTATTGAGAAATACACGAACTGAAATTACTCGTTAATTGCCGTACTTAATGAAAATTACTCCCGTACTTTTAGCAAAGAATTATTTTGCGGTTTTCCCGTACATTGATTGTTTAACCGTATCTGACCTAAATATGCATGTCTCGTCTTCTAAGGAACGCTCCAAAAACACAAGTTTTACCTAAAGCAAAGCCCGCTGATGAAATTTAATGATGGTACGGAAATTGAATGTTAAGAAGTACACGATGTATTACTTCTGAAATCCTGCATTTGTAGAAAATTATCCGCCTAGTTTCTGTAAAGTATTATTTTCTAATACAATTAGAGGTTTAAATGTAAACCTCCCAGATGTAGCAATCACTCGATCGCTGATGGCGACAATTAGTAAACTTCATTCTTTACGACTTATAAAAGAAGCGTGCATCATTCTGGGGACGTGTTTAAAAATCGTAAATATTTTTCAGGATTTATGTGGCAATTTGTTATCGAGAAGTGCAGTTACAGAAATTACCCATTAAATACGGCGCCTGTGGCTAATTATCCGCATAGTTTTAGCAAATTGTCCGCGCGCAAGATTCTTGTGCCAGGAGGAGAGTTTTAATGGCGCAATAAACCGTCTTAAAAATATCTGACGGTAGCTACTATTCACCTGACAAGAAATTGAAATTTGCCACTGTAAATGGGCAGGAATACCGGAAGCGCGCGAGTCGACCATTTTCCTCCGTCTAAAGATGGCCGCGCCTCCTAGCTAGGGGTTCAACTTCCTTGTGTGTTCTGCACCTGGTAAACCGCGATATCAAGGAATTTCTTTCCCGAGAATTCGATCCTCTGTTACGTATTAGAAGTGAGGTGGAAATGGCTGCGGGCATTTACCTCATTATCGGTGCGTACACCAGATAACTTCGAACCGGTTGTCCTGATCGATATATGATGCCACTTTCTTTCTCAGTATCTTCAGCATCGGTTCTCAATTCTCGAGAGTAAGAAGGATGCATGACGATTCATTTTATGACTACGATTACCTAAAATTTAAGGTCCAGTTATGTGATTCTTTCGAGTGAGCTGTTTTCATTTTTTCAAGATAAATGACTCAGAAATCACGCTTCTGTTCTTGAAACACACAGTTTGCTGAAGAAAGTTTAATGAACCCGAAGAAATATTTTCTCTCTAGAAGCATTAATTATATGAACAATTCTATATTATTTTTATCATCGTAAAAGATCGTATACTCATTGACACCAATGATCGTAGAAATAAAATGAAAATTTATGCTGAAATAATTTGCTTCTTTGCTTATAATTACACGTTTCATTTGAATAAATATAAGGCAATAATTAAACTTTATTAATTTGCACAAATAAGTTGAGGCGTCCTCCCTATCCTTGTCCGCCATGTTGGACAATTATTGAACAATTGGAACTGCATCACCCTCGATCTAAAAGGCAGTGATCGGTTTTAAGATATTAGATTTCCTTGCTCAAATGTTCGGTGAATGAATATTCATTACATCTTTCCATCTCGTAACAGTAATGACTCTCCACTCTTTGCGTTACGCGCAGTCTTATTATTACATAAAGCAGTAACGTACTCTGCACGCGAAAGGTGCTTTTTTTGTGAATGCATCTAGTGTTCTCAAACCAAACCATCTTTAAAAACTTCTCTTCATTGGAAGAATGAATTTTTACCATATGAATTAATCCTGATTAATTTCCACCGTACTTCGACTTAACTTGATTTGAATATAAGTAAATTGAGTGTCCCGGCAAACGCTCGAAAAGAAGAGAACCAAGATGGCGGCCGCGGAAATGACTCCACCATGAGTTCTATTTTTATTAAATAAAACTACGGCGACTAGTTCTCACCAAACTTAGAACGAAATATTATACAAACAGATTGAATAACGCAATAATTGGAAGAGAAGCGAAAGAAAATCGCGGCTATCGTAGGAATTCTTGCAGGAAATGAGAGCCGCAGCATCGAAATGTTTCCTGTAGAAAGTGAGAAAGTGATCGCGGCTGAGTGTGCGGTATTGGACCGTACATGTGCATGAACAAGTGACGTAAACGATAACGATTACGTACTTGTTCGAGCTGATGCTCCAACTGCATAAGATTTAGGTGCTTTAGATAACTACGTAGCTATTGCGTGTACGGAACCGGCGCATATCTGTTGCGTGTCGATGTAACTTAGGACACGTAATGGGTAGAAAATTAATTAACTCGATTTCTCTAATTTCGATAAATGATATTTCAATTTCTATACTTCCGGGTGGGAATAAAAGATAAGAAGAAAGTAGTAAAGAATCAGCGGATTGATTCATCTGATGGCTTTTTACTTTTCGTCATAAAAATCGGGCTTATTAACTCCGGGAAAAGTATCTCATCTAATCATACGTCAAATAGAAGTATCATACACAATGTGCATTTACAAAATATTGATTTACCTATATTAACCGAGTTGCATCGAGTATTAATTAAATTAAATTCTGTTTATAAGTGATCGGAAGAGTAGTTATTTCTTTATGTTACTGAAGCTATCCATTTAGATAGGGGAGCTGTAAGATGGACTATTTAAATTGACGTTAATTTGCAGGCTCATAAAGGTGTTATTCTTCCACACGAACTATAAACGTTTGTTTCGTGAAAAATTTATATCGCTTCTTCCTATGAATGTGCACATAGGAAAGTTGTAAAACGTCTTTTTAAACTTGATCCCCCTTTTATATGTTCTCTTAAATAAGAATAATACTACTTTTTGCTTCCATTACATAGTATTATTAAAAGTCTAATGCATTATCCATTTCAGTGATCGATTCTAGTGGAAAACATACTTGGGGCCTCTTTTATGGCAACCAATATTGGATCGGTGCACCGAATCAATGTCGAGATATGGATAAGAATTTCACTGAACGACTTAAAAACGAAACTGCATCACTGATAGAAACTCCTCCCTTCCGTGTCTCTGTGAATGCGATTAGGCTCAAGTTGGATATCTTGAAACCTGAAATAAACGAGGTCAGTAATGGAGGATATTATTTAGATCGCGACGTTATTAAGTGTTATATAATATCGATGTTGTAACTAGCGTTTCTCTTCAGAGCCTCAATATTACTCTTGGAGTTTGTTTCCCGGCTAGTTGTAGTGTCCGAGATGTGAAGGAACTCATGGACTTCGCAGTGAACAAATCGAAAAGCGAAAACCTCCCTAGGAAGTTAGTCATCGATCACGTTAGGAACCTATCGGAAGGATATTCCTTCTGGGATGATCCGGTATTTTATATTCTAGTGTAAGTAGATATAAGTAAATTTGATAAGGCAATTTCTTTTTCACGTCATTTGGTATGAAATAATACTTGTAGAATTTTTCCATTTCATCGTTTTCTTTTGTTTATTGCGTGGTAACTCCTTTTATCAGTTTCGCTTGGCATAAATGCTTGTTGACTTCTACGTGCTAGTTGAGAGATAAAAGCTATGTAACATGATTCTTGTAGATTATAATCCATATTATAATATGGAAACGTAATAGTTCTTATACAATAGGAAAAGTATAGATTTAATCTCGCCTTTAAAGAAACATTTGATTTCAGGGCATCATTTGTTATTCCGATAATCCTCATAATTCTGGGAACATTGTATGATATTTCTCTGCGTTACCGTATCTTGAAACAAGAGAGAGGAAAACCAACGAGTGATAATCCCATGCTAGAGCTGAAAATTTTGGGAACGAATGGAGACTTAGACGATGAGATTACGCTCTCAAAACTGTGGTCTATAAAAACGCACAATGGATCCCTGGGTACCGAATAAAATTAATATTTATCAAATCAAATTCATTAATTGACTTTTGCGATCTTGTAGGTCGCTATCTCTAAATTTTAGTCAGTTATCGAACATTTTACTGATAAACAAATTCCTCATTCGCAGATGAATTAAATAATTCCTTCTCTGATATACTCATTTCAGTCAATTATTGAATCGGTATCTTTTCTTTCAATGACATTAAAATGCTTTCCGTCACTTTCAATTAATTTTTATTTATTTTAAAGAGTTTTGTCTTTGATTTATTCATTATCGGGACGATAACTCGTAAAATGTGATTCTTCACCGCGACTTATATATAATATATACAATTCTTCACTGATTTAAGTTTAATGATCATATAGTTAAATCGATTTGCGTTCCAGATGTTCAGAATGAAAAAGATGTACCAAAACCTTTATCGGAAGCGCTTTTATCCTTCAGCTTATTATTGAACATATCCAAACTTGCGAGTCTAGATGTTGGAAGCGATACTTTAGCCCCAATTCATGGAATTCGAGTTTTTTCTATGATATGGATCATTTTGGTGCACACCTGTCTGGCATACAACAATGTATCTGGTGTGTTTCATTACATCACATTAAATGCATATGCTGTTTCGAGACAAGCCTCTTTTAATATTAAATAGAGAGAGGCCACAACAATTAAACGAAATTCTTTCAGATACTAAAATGTTCCGTATGCATGCCGAGGATGACTTCTTATATCAAACTATCAGCAACGCAACGTACGCAGTGGACACGTTCTTTGTTATCAGGTGGGAATGAAAGCTCTATAAATCTTTCCGAGCTGTACTGAAAATACACGATTTATTTTTTAGTATCAATGATTTAATTTTATTTCAGTGGCTGCCTAGTGGCTTTTCTTTATTTCCGTACCAATAATCACCAGAGAATGAAGGAAAGAACAATTACGAAAGGTTTTAGCGGAAAAGTGTTCCAATTTTTGGGCATGGTTTTTTACAGATATTTCCGACTGACACCGCCATACCTTCTTGTCATTGGACTCATTCAAGTATCTATGAAATGGTATCATGATCATGCAATCATTGAAATATCTGCCCCGGATTATAAGACTTGTGAGAAATTTTGGTGGAGGAATGCTTTGTACATTAATTCGTTTATCGAACAGAAGGAGAGAGTAAGTTAATTTATATTAAAGTAAAAGGAAACGTAGATAGGAATTATAACAGAAGTGTCTCATTGAAACTTTGTTAGTGTATGGGATGGAGCTGGTACTTAGCAAATGACACGCAGTTCTATATCATTGGAATAATTATTATGATCATTGCTGCCAGGTGAGAAAGGACCAGGGGATCATTATGGATAGTCATGTCGCATTTACAGATCTTTCCTTTTACAGTTACTTGCATTTCGCCATGTTTGCTGTTTGCTTCTTATTGGTATTATCTTGGATAACTACTGGAGTTATCGCGTTTTATACAGACCATATACCAACGTGAGTAAGAGAGTAATGGGTCAACAATTATCCATTACATTAATATAATTTTTAGGATTCAAGATCCGTTTGCACATTACGAAAGTCTCTATGATAAACCTTGGACCAGAATTGGATCTTATTTGATTGGTATAGCCTTGGGATGGTATTTGTTTAAAATCAATTGCAAAGTGCACATGAATAAGGTACTCAAGAACTTTCTAAAGTAATAATATTAATTTAATATAAGATTTAGATTTTATAATTCCATTAATCACCAAAGTAATTAAAATCGACGTCTTATTAAATGAGTTTTTTTATTTAGTTGTTGGTAGTCATCGGCTGGGTCCTTTCCCTTGTAACAATGGCAAGCATCGTTTATGGACTTTATGGACATAATTTTGGGCCAATTTTGGCATCAATTCACACTGCACTTTCGCATTCTGGATGGGCCCTTTGTATTGCTTGGATTATTTTTGCCTGCGTCACTGGACATGGCGGTAAATGTCGCGATTACATTTTTTTATGCTGAAATAATAAGTTTTAAGTCATATTTTACATTAATATTTATATACAATTTTAATTGATTCATTTCCGCAGGTTTAATTAATTCTCTTCTATCCTGGAAGTACCTGTATCCATTGTCTAGACTGACCTACTGTACATATCTGATTCATCCCGTCATTATTCGAGTCCTCATTTTAGCAGCAGAAACTTCTTCGCACTTGACATCTAGCCTTGTGGTATTGTGAATTCTTTCCTCTTCTATTATATTATGTAATTTCTGTTGTTAGAAGATTGATTCTCGCGAGACATACTTTAAAGAAAGTGCACACATTTAAGAACAAATAATGAAATCGAATATTTAAGAAATAATAACAATTGCGATAAACTCCGCGACAGTTTTGCTAAACTTGTTTTTTGGAGTAGAAAATTATCTTCAGTTACGTATTTCGACAGTTTTGTCAAAAGGTCGAATATAGTTTTTCCCATCTGATGAAATTAATTTAATTGCTGGGTTAATTTGAAGTTAACAATTATGTCAAATAATGTTGTCATTCCTTTACTCAACATAAGAAACAATTACTGTTTAAAATTTCCTGTTTTACCGATCGTAAGCCAGAAGAGAAATAGTACGTACGGTTGATACCAGGGGTCTCTGCAATCGAGTATTATAGAGAAAGTAGAGAGCCAGCAATTCTCCGTTCTTATTCTACAAAACTCACTTTTACCTTCTGCATATATGACTTGCGCTTTCTTTAGGCGATCCTGTTCTTCGGCATTGCCATTACATCGTATGCCGTTTCTTTGATCCTAAGTCTGTTGTTTGAGGCTCCCATGGTTTCTATGTTGAGGATAATTCACCCTCTTCGGCAGTGGAAACGGAAGTAATCGCAAGCAGAACTCCTGTACTACATGAGAGAACAACAAATTGTGTTAGATCATTTTAGAATAATTTATAAGACATTGAAAGTATCACCAGTATTCACGTTTCAGTGGTATAGTACCTCTGAAGACAATTAGAATTTTGTCATTTGTGAATTTTTCATCATTCATATCATGAAACTTTCGCGCTATTATAAACTGAAAGTCCTTACGCAAAAGAAATAAAAAAACAGGAGGAGGAAACGTTTTCTTGCCAGAGAAATGTGTAAATAACGCTGGTAATACTCTGTGTAGTTTAGTTATCTTACGTACATGAAATTACAGTCTAGTATTTGTAATACAATGCCAGTAATTACATATTTGTAGGTTTAGTTAAGAGGATTATCCACAATGTCTGAATTTTTTCGAACTTCGTAGAAACTACGTTACACGAAAATGTCTAATTGTAATTTCGTACATATTTACGCAAATATTTTGTACAGCAGTAACACACTGAACACCAAACCTAACAGTTACGTAACTTAAAACTAACAAATAACATAATGTTTGTTATAATGTAATAACCTAACAGTTACGCAACTTAAAACTAACAAATAACATAACGTTTGTTACAGCGTAAGAACCTAACAGTTACATAACATAGAGCTAACTAGTTACATGACATTTGTTACAATGCAGTAACTTAACAGTTATGTAACATGAAGCTAACAGGTTACATAAAATTTGTTACTATCATATCTATATAAATGTAGCGTATCTTTGTTACTCTTATCTTACATTATGTTACTGTCCTGATATTACTGTCTACATGCAGCACATATTTGTAACAAAACAGAACTACATTGGTACTAACTGTCATCTATTTTAACACATCATCGTCATCATCATTGTCATAATTCATCGTCAAATGGCATAAGATTAATACATGTCATATTTTGTTTACTACTCGTATGAAAAAATGTGATTGTAATTTGCATGCGCATACACATTATCAGTAATTGTTTGCTAGTCGAATGAAATCATTGTTTTTATTTAAAATCAGATAGTTTATCATTCACATAATTTCATTTACAGTTTGATTTATTATATAATACCTAATTATTGCCAAGTGCCACGAAATAATACAAAATAAAATATTGCATTATTTTTTTGTATCAAATGTTTGAAAAATTAGTATTATTTTAAGGTAACTGAACTTATAACATTAATATAACATGTTACCTTATTGAGTGGGAAATAATAACAAATATCTAACTTCGATGTTACTTTTATGCTACATAACACGTTAGCTTCGAAAATGTAAAATTTACTTAACAGTTATATTACTGCGTTCTGTGGGAATGATAGTGTTTAGTCATTTATACATAATAATGATATATAATAATAACCGAATGACATAATTATATAACTGTAAGATAGAAACATGAATATTTTACGAAATTGTTTGACTTTTTCACCCCATAATTAACAAGGCCACGCTTCACCTCCGATTAATACGAGAAAATCCCTCTCATGGTATTCGTAATTAAATTCACTTTCAATTCGTGTGTGGATTAATTAAAATTCATCCAAAGTTCTCACGGAATTACCAAAATTGTCTTTGGGAATTGTTCGGTATTGCAAGCGGATATATTATTCTATTTATTAATTAATCTTCAAGATGTAAATATTATGTCCCAAAATCACTGACCACCCAAGTTATCACAATTATTTAAAAAAGATCTTGAAATCTTATCGTTCATAGCCAACATTTAATAACGGTTAACATTATTTTAAAGCTTATTGTACTTCCATACGCAGAATCACAGGATTAAATTATATTATCATCTTTCTTCCAATAAGGCTTTCAAGATGAATTATATTAAAAGAATTAAAAGTAAAATGGAAGTACTTGAGATCTATATATTGTTGCATGATGCAGCCAAATGCTATTTTGTTAGAGGAATTGAAGATCTTTAACGTAACTTGATTTACGTCTTACGCATTTGTTCGATGACACACATAGAAATGATGTGAAAGTTGTGCCTCTTCGCGTTCTTTGCACTACATACTTTTAACCCACCGTATGTGCGTAAGCATCTACGGGTACAAATCTTTTACATTAGTCTCTACAGAGGCCGGATCCGTTTTGGTGTTACGTAAATAGAGGCGTGATTACGTACTTGATATAACCTGGTTACGAGAAGGCTTACCATGAAATCATTCGGCGTGAATAATTGGAAAAGGTGACCAAAGATCGAGAACAAATTTACTATCAAAGAGAACACAATGTTCGAAAGACGAGAGAAGAAGTTACTAGATCACTCTATCCCTCGTTTTTGGAATAAACCCTAGTAGCGGAAAATATTTGTCCTATATTTTCTATATATTTAACAAATATCGTACATTTTGTAAATATTTACCAGACATTTGAAATATTTGCAAAACGTCTACTTTAGAATATTATCCCTATAATATTTATATAATATTACCTCCACCCGTTTTCATAATACTTTTCTACCAGATATAAAAAACATTTCGTTCCATTTTAATACAAGTATTTTTTAAATATTATCTGCCAAATACATTATAAACGTTTTGAAAATATTTAAAATCAAAATCACACGTTTTGCTCCCATAATGAAATAGCGGTACGAAAATATTAGAAAAATTTCTTGTGTTTTTTGATACCAAATAAAGTGTCCGATGATAGTTGTGAAGTAAAATATATGTATTTTTATTATATGTTCATAAATTAAAAAATATAATTTCTCTATATGTTTATAAATTATTGAAACTAAATATGTCATTGAGATTTTCAACAAATATTTCAGATATCTTCGAATGAAATCTACAAGCAATCTTGAAAAATCTGTCGCTTGAGATATTTAGCAAAGATTACAAAGAAATATTTAGAAATTATTCTGTGCTACTAGAGAAGGTTTACCGGCTAGGTAAACCATGATTACGAATGTAGTTAATGCAATGGCTCTTGTTAGTTGTTTCTCCCTAGATTCTGATGCAAAATTCCGGGATACTAGGGATTTATTTTTTCTTGAAATCTTGACATTACTCGAAATGGATGTTCCGCGAATGTTTAAAAAAAGATCACTACCTAAACGGAAGATGAAAGCGAAGTTGAAAAATAAAAAGGAGCCTGACCAGTTCGACGGAACGAGTTGAATATTATGCGAGATCGGCTAGATATACAACTGAAAGAAATGAAAGACGGAATAATTGAGTCAACGACACAGCTGTGAAAGTGGTTAGGAATAAAAATGATTTCGTCGCTACCGGTTCAAAAGTAAAGCATGTATCCGTCAACGTATGGTGAAAGCTAATCATCTCAGTTATTGTTTCTTAGGTAAATTAATCAATTAGTTACTTAACAATTGAAATAAATGTTCATCAATTGAATGTCACATTTACTGAAATATTTTCAGGCACAATTTCCCGTTAATTTACAACATATAAAAGTAAAATGAATAGCCAAATAAAACTTAATAGTAAATTTATATTTTAGATTATAGATCTTTTTCCATTTGTTTATATTCTATGACCGAAAGTTCCAACGGCTCTTTTGGAATAAATAATTAGCTGCATTATATTACTGTTTCAATAAGGGATTCGTGAATACTTTTGATTTTTATCGAGATAGAAGACATTCTCGGTTCTAATAGGTTTCTAATTTGGACTTGTCGTCCTTCGTAGAGGATGGAATGTCAAGGTGTCGTCTGCTCGAATCGTAATACATGATGTGTTCATAATTGTAAATTAACAAACTGGAGAATTAACGCATGGTTAACTGTGTAGGTAACGTTGCGTTTACAGAAAGAAGGTGAAAAACGCAGGATGAAATTAGAATGGAATTTTTAAATGAATTTCCTGTAATTATTCTCAAGGCGATAGCTTTCCAGTGTAGAAATAATATTCAGAATGTTTCAAAGATTACACTGGGCGAAAAATTTACTTTCTAGGCATAATTAATTACTTACGGCAATCTAAATATCTCTTGCTAATGAAATTTCTTGGCTCCAGAAAAAATTCATTTTGTAAGAATTATTAGTATTGCAAGTTAAAGTGAAGTGAAACACGTTCAGAAATTTGATCGTCGTCGGTAAAAAAGATTCTTCTAAATGCTTACGTTGCCGACGTTCGTATTTATATTGACAGCCGTGTCGAATTATATTAGGTATTGTACTAAATGGCATACTCTATATACCGTTTCCATGTAATAATTATAAAAAAAGTCGAAGGAAAACTCCAGAAATCCCCTGGATTCATGGTTTTTTATGTCTATTAGGGCAATCAATTATGACTGCAGAGTGCCTGCGCCATCTGTGATTTCAGTGTCAACTAAATTTTCTCTCCGAAACTTCGTCTTACCTGCAACTTATTTTACTGATGGTAAGAAGTAAAAATTTGTTTTGACACAAGAATAGGAACTTTTTTTCTCTTAAAAGTAAAAGTAAAAGTATTTCTACAACAATATAACTGCTTATCCAACAAAAATTCATATTAATAAGAATGATTGAATTTAAAAATATAGGTAATAGTAAATATGTTTCCGTAAATGAGGAGTAGGTAATATTGAGAAATAATATCTGTCTAAGTTAAGAATTGTTTACAAATAGAAATGCATTCCTGACTTTCTTTAATACCTCCTTCAATTTCAGAGTGTAACTGTAATAAACCGGAAGTTTCATCCCCAAATCGGAGAAGCATGTCCTTAAGCGAATGAATGTACCGTATGTGAAAATACTGATATTATCCGCAAGAGTGAAGGTTTTCTAGATGATATTACATTAGGTGCGGTAACAAGAGTTTTCCTTATAAAAATAAGTTCTCCGCATAAACGACCCGAAGATAACAGACTCCGAAATTGCGAGCTACGCACACGATGATCTTTTAATCATATAGGACTCCTTTGTGAAACTTCAAGTCTCACTCCAGCATGCAATTGATGCGCCTCATTGCGTGATGTCAGCCATCTGCTGGAAAAGAAATTTTTAACATTACTCGTGCCCTCCATATCAATTAGTACTGATAATTTCCTGACACAGAACATACCTGATCTTCCAGGTTACGGCGGTAAGTAGTTAGAATTTAAAAGAGAGTCAGAACTTTCCCCGAAAATCGTGGAACCGGCGCAGCCGCGCTGCCAGCGCCGCTTCGGCTGTAAACTCGAACCGGAAGTTCCTGTAAGGAGTACGTGACACTTTTTCAAAGGTCACGTACGCCATTCCTGTCATACCTTATGCAAACGCGGCCGAGAAACCTGCGAAGGCTCGCGAAAAACCGGAAACTCCGGTTTCTGGTCCCGCGGATGGACCACGCTCTGCGCAGAACGATTGCGCAATGCGGCTCGTGACGCGGGGAATTTAAACGGCCGTTTCGAAAGCCGGCGCAATTTCGAAAAGAGCCGAAAATCTAATCGTCGGATGAATATTTTAGTACAGGGCTCGGTGTTGAATTACCGCTTTAAAGTGCGCAACGTGCGGTGGAATTTGACAGCGACTAGACCTGTATTGGCCATTTGACGGTACCAATATTGACGGTGTCAATGTAAACGGGCCCGATAGCGCATCGATAGAACACGTTTGGTATTTGGAGAGACCTAAACCCGAAGTACAATCTCATGGCAAATTACGAGTAAATAGAAAAGTGTGAGAGGACCAACACCGTCCAAGGTGGAATATGACTATGTTCTTAAAACTGTTTCATAAAGTTCAGTTTTTTCTAAGCGTTAATGGGAGAGATAATACTTTATGGAGACTAAATGAAATCGGATTTTGTTTCAGTTTTTACAAGATTAATAAACATGCTCCTAAAGAAATATATTTTAATTAGTTACGTCATGCATTGTGCATTTTCTTAATCGTCTTTAATTTGATATCTATTTTAACTTTCTTTTCACTTTTCTATGCAGTGCGAGAAATGTATAATATATTATTGAACAGTTTGCAATGAAAGATTAAAAAGTATACACCTATACCCTGTTAATAATTATCATCATATACATTAATACGCATATGTTTTGGGATATTGCCTGATAAGAGTATCAGATGGCAGTAACTCATGTTGGGAATTTAATTAACACGAAAATGGAAGAGGAAGTTCAAATTTATCTGTCCTAAATGAATGAGAGAGTCTTTGTTACTTTCTTTTTATTTAAATGCAGCTTTCGTCAATACCCCCNCCCCCCCACGAGCACGTATCACAGTAGCACGATCAAACTTTATTCCTTGCATTAGTTTGTTTAAATTTCTTTGAAAAAAGACGGTGGTAGTGTTGTTCACGCTTGCTACAATTTAGCCCACGTGTCTGACAGTATTGAGCTTTTGCAGTTTTATTTGCCGCACAGTGGTTCAGATTGCAATCATGGCACAAAATGATTTTAAGTAATTCTGTATAAAGATGTATTCTGATAACAATGGAACGCAACTTCAATTTGATATCATTATCATGCTGAAGTATTATAGGTTTGCCAATAGTTTTCAAATCATACACCCAGATGCAATATCTTGATCTTTCAAGATTTGGAGATATCGTTCTCCTTTCATTGTTCCTTGGATTTTTACCAACTTTCGATGGTATTACATAGCAAAATAATAACAAATCATTACGTTTCTTTCTTTGTTACTTAGCTGTAATCATCCTTACGCCAGTCTGTTTCCGCAAAGATTGACGATAATGGGTGCTTAAAATTAAACATTTCGATATACTTGTTTACAAGATTTTACTCCACACTTGAAAGGTTCAACCTTTATTTTCCCGTGTCCACTGAAATCATTTTCGCTTATGATGTGCATACAAAAGCGGTTTCCTACTCGTCCTTGCAGAGAAGTATCTTTTAACCTTCATATTGCAGTACGGAAACGTAATTTACCCACGTATTATTCAACCGATGTGCAATTTCCGGGGATATCAAGTGTTTATTTTCCTTGCTAGTTACCATTATAAATTTACCTTCAGCAACCGTGGCCTCATGGCGCTATGCAGTCAGTAAATAGTCTGCAACGCTGCCTATCTGCATTTTTCTTTTTGAGAATATGGGAATCGGTATTCTTTCTTATTTCTATAATCTTCCTATAATGGTACGCATATACAATCCTTATTCCTTAACGCTTATACTGCCTCTCGTGTTTCTAAAGAAATACTGTCTGCTTTCGCCATTGTCAAGATTTTGACAATTTTCAAAATCGACGGTTAAGTTGTAGTTAAAGAAATAAAATGTATGATTTCGATTTCTTACTTTATTATTTTAAGATTTGAATCATTCGATCGATGCAATGCATCGGAGTTAAGTATTCGGCATTTTTTAGCGACGACTACATTTCTTTAATTTTATGCTACAGTTTCTTCTTCTTATTTCTATATTCTTCCTTTAATGGTACGCACATACAATCCTTATTCCTTAACGCTTATACCGCATCTCGTGTTTCTAAAGAAATACTGTCTGCTTTCGCCATTGTCAAGATTTTGACAATTTTCAAAATCGACGGTTAAGTTGTAGTTAAAGAAATAAAATGTATGGTTTCGATTTCCTACTTTATTATTTAAAGATTTGAATCATTCGATCGATGCAATACATTGGAGTTAAGTATTCGGCATTTTTGAGCGACGACTACATTTCTTTGATTTTATGCTACAGTTTCTTTTACTTCATTCAAAAAAACAATTGTTTCTCCCAGCGTGAAAGTATCTTCTAAATTGAAATGGAGACGCGTATTGCACCGACCATCGTCAAAATATGCGGAAAAGGTACGCGTGTAATTACCCGCACAACACATTTGTACTTTTTAGCGAAAGTATATGCATCTCCCTCGAACGACGTTAACCACATTATCTCCGATGCACATACGTGCAAAGTTGCACGATGCGAGTGCTCACGACAAATACATTTAACATAAGTCATCCCGACGAAGAATTTGTCGCCAGTATCTTCGATTGCCTCATTACTCTGACCATAATAGAATAGAACGCTTAACCAGAAATAGACAGCAACATGTTCATTTGCTCCTTGCCCTTAATGACCGACACGGAGAGAATAGTAAACGCTTAGGGGATATTAAGGCCGCCTTTATTGAGTATATTTGAACTACTCTTCATAAATGTTCCCACTCATTCCCAGTAGACAATTTTCATTTGGAAAATGTGCCCTTCGACCATTAGCTAATACTGCATAAAATGTGGCGATTGGCGATAGACATTAGTTACAGTAATTATCATATAATGTAGCGTAAAGATATTGTCGTGTCATGACAAATTAAGTTTAGTTTTATATAATCAGCACTTACGGAGAGGAAATTCTGCAACGGTGACTATACCGGTAACAGCGATGATTGTTCCTCTTACAGCATACATCGTCAATCACGCAGAAATAATAGTTACAAGTTAAGGAGACGTTAAGGGCACGTTTACGAAGATACAGACTTTTCCTCGTAAATTTTCATGTTTGTCCATGGTAGACAATATCTTTTTTAAATTTGCTCTTTGACAGGCTGGCATTCTATATTAAGTTTGACGATTGAACATTTTTCAATTATTCGAATTATCATACAATTTGGATTACATGTCTCGTTAACTTTAGTATTAGATATGGAATATTTATAGGATAGAAAATGTAATGGTTATCTTGGATACTATATTGGTACAGTCGATGATTGTTTTGATTACAACATGCATCGTCACTCATCACTGTTAGGTTCTGATGGCTGTAGATGATCTATAGATACTAACGTACTAATTATACTTGGCAGTAAGTATAATTACGCAGGATTCTTGTCGCCCTCACGTGGCAATGTCATTCAGTTCGGTTTCTAGCGGTGAAGTCCAATGTCTTTATACTTATATAAGACGCGATTCGCGTTATCGATATTTTAGTTAATTGTTCTCTCGAAGAAAAAGAACATAATTAAAATCTACTTCCCTTTATTCGTTCTATATTTTGTCCTCTCGATTAATCAAATTTCTTTCAGCGTTGGAACATTTAAACGTATTGTGTATTAAGAGGTTCCAACGTCTGTTACATAGTTACACGTGTATCAACTTATTAATTTATGAACACAAGTTTATGGCAAATATGATACGAAAGTAACAAAATCATATATTAAGGGTGATATGAAAGTGACGTTGAAGAGGTTTTGTTAACGAAACTTTTCTTCGAACTGGGTTTATCGAATTGTTTTAAACTTTACAATGTGAATATGGAAACTATAAGGAAGGTCCTGACACTCATGAAATTACAATTTCTTTACAATTTTTTTTATAAGCATTTTTTAAATTCTGTATAAGAAATGAAATCTTACGAGTGTCAGGACCTTCTTTATAGACTCCATATTCACGTTACAAATTTTGAAACGATTCTGTACACCCAGTTCAACGAAAAGTTTCATGAACGATCGACCTCTCAGATGCCACTTTCCTTATCCCCTTAACGCGTTATACAGGAATGTGAAATACGAAAAAATGTTCAGGTCAACCATGGAAATGTGCTTAAAAATATAATTGTTTAGCGGAAAATACAATTGTCTGACGATTTTTAAGAAAATTTATTTCCCAGGTGTAAGTACCTTGGGCGCGTATACCTACGTGCACAGGTGCTGGTACACATACAGATGCTTTCAATTCATACTTACACGCCCATCCTTCCACTGCTCCTTCAACACTGGTATAAGGTTTAAGTTTTCACCGGTCCCCCTCCATGAGTATCTGCTTAACGTCAACCGTACCTTTACTGGTGGGCAAAACCATTTCTCCACCAGCTCCTAAGTTGGACGATACAGTTCGGCGGTGGCCATCCAACTAAAAGGACCCAATCGCGTTAAATCGACGACAAAGTAATCGACATCTTGAATCGGCTCTCAGACTCTGCAAATCTCGGTAATTTTCAAATGAAAGTAATGATCAACAATTGTTGGAAAGAAATCAGCTCATCGACTGTGGAGGCTTGTCAACGAATCCAACGAAGTTATCCAAAATATCCTGTGGGGTGAAAAATATTCTACCCCGGGGTAGTCGGATAAAGTGCGCCGTACTCTTTACTAGAAGAAGGGATTTCCTCGACACGTTGATTAGTATAATTGAAAAATCGTCGAACATCTTAACCGTAGCTCGACGGGTTCGTTGTTTCTCGTGGAAGTCGGGATGTATTAATTGAACGTGCTAACGGAGTAAATACTATAAAAAAATATTTATAAAAAAGAAAAAAAAGTAGTACTTTTATTGATGAACGATCCTAATAATGTAATTAAATTATACAGAATGGTAATGAACTACACGGATGTCAATGGACGAGCGGTGAGAGTTCATTGAGAGAAATTCGAAGAAGGGAAGTGCAAGATCTCACGATATAAAGGCATTAAATAACTAAGAATCTATTTAATTAGGAGGAATATTTATGTTAAATAAAAAAAAAGAGAAATTACGGTAGACGTCTGGAACTGATCCGTCGATGAGTGAAGCGGGAATCGAAGGATCATTATGAAGTCTTGACAGAGATAGAGTTGAAATTAATTATTAATTTCCGAGGAACCGGTTTAATACTCTCGCGTGGAAAGTTAGCAACAATGGCCGGTATTCCTTTCTTAACTTTACTAACTATTGCCGGCCTTACTTTCGCCGGTGGAGAGACGGAAAGACTTTTACCCTTGAGTCCAGTAAGCTCTCAAGATCCAGCGGATCATCAATTGTCCGTGCATCGTATCAGGAGTCTTCCGAAGGACGAAGAAATTCTTCCTAGGAACTGGACCACTATTTCTGAGACTCTGGACGTCTATAGTTCGAGAAATCTCGAGAGGAATTGGGCAGAAAGGCAATATTCCATCGGTGATGAATGTGCCAAGGATGTGACCAGATACTTGGAAGGGTTAAGAAACCACGAGCTCTGGGCTATGAAAGGTAATTTTTACGTAGAGATTTCTTCTACGGTAGAATTATTTAACTTGTTAAAATGATGTCTCATACGTTAGAAACTGTTACCAAAATTCGTAGCTGATGGCAACGTGGTTACCAATTTTAGAAATAATAGGAAAGCTCCATTAACAATAAAGCATTCTTTGAACTTGACGAAATAGTTGTAGAAAATGAGGATAGAAAGTAAAAGTTTGGCTACTGGAAACGAAACTTGATGTATGATTACCTACAAAAGACACCTTACGGAGACATTTTTCCTCAGCCCTCGGCACTTTTATTAGTCAAATATTGGATGACAAAACTTCTCGGTGTGGTCGTCGTCGAACTATCGTAAAACTCATTGGCTGGATGGCCGTCTCGAAGTTTAAATGTATTGTACCAATAGAAAGTTGCGAGCATTGCGCATCCAGACGTCATTATCACCCAAAGATGGCTAAAGGTTTTTGAAACACACCAGACGCCTTTGCCATCGAAATCGTTGGTTTACTCCGAAATTCCTATTGGTCAATAGAGTGATGTTAATCGACAGTTACGACTTATTCATAATGCATTCGGTAAAGTCGGGAGCTCACAGAAGAATGATACATCTTCTTCAGATTTTAGTTTATACATTTAAATGACCCCACGTGACAAGTAGGCATCTTTCTCAGAAATTTATTAATGTATTTAATTACATTTAATTAAATTCCCATTAATTAGTGAGAGCGTTTTAACGCGAATCTCCCACAAATGAGATACAAAAGTTCAAACTTCATGTTTTAACTAGAGACTTTTTTTTTATCAATCCTTGGGAAGCAATTGATACGGAATATCGATAAACTGAGAATTTGTTAATATGAAAAACTTAGTCGAGAATTAAAGACTGAATTTCTATTTGTTTCCCTGAACGTTAGATTTGACAGACAATGTGCGGTACTTGGTTCACCATTAAGAATAAGCCATTTCTTTGCAAAAACCGAGGAGATCGATCGCCCTCACTTTCTCCTAAAGAGAAGGAGATTTCGAAGTGAGCATTCACTGCTGAATCGAAAGGGTTAGTCATCGATCCCGACCAAAATTCTTCGAGCTCATCACTGTCGTCCTCTAATGATAAAGTTAACTGTCCTATGATAAAACCACGTATTAAGAGAAAAGTCAATATTCCTCCCTTCATCCTTTAATACTTTACCTAATTACTAGAATTACATTGCTCTCTTCTAATTGATCAACATGTTCAATTTAATATTGTTACCATGCTTTTGTATCCTCGTATTGCCGACACGTTAGCAGGAAATGATGTTGCTGATTTTAGTATTTTTTATTTACGTTATACTCATCTGATGTATAATATGCCCATGGAGACATATCAGTTAACACTTTATAAAGCTTGTTGATTTATTATAAAAGTAAAGACGAAAAGATACGACGTATTCCAACGTATACGTCTAAGAAATACATGCTTAAATAAATATCCGTGATTCGGAATAGTGAAATATTTTGTCAGAACTGTCATATTAGCAGAGGTTGTATTCATGTGAACAAATTGTTGGGTCATTCGTATAAACAATGAATACACATGCTCTGGCATACATGCAGTAGTGTCGTACACTTTTATCAGTATCGCGTATTGATTTCGCGATCACTGGGTTCCACAGGGGATCCTCTTCCAGAAATGGAAGCTTCGTAAGATTTCTTGGAGCCACTCTTCAACCGCAGCGTCAGCTCTCCTCTAGTTTCTCCTCGGTGGAAGAAATGAATCATATTTTTAATCCGCTTGACTTTCGCCGTTTGAGGAATTCAAAGGCCGGGATTTTTATTCGAAATTGAAAGCTCGGCTTACGACCGAGCTATCTCGCTTTTCTGTTCTACTCCTAGAAAGGCAACCATCGCCGAACGATCTTTACCTTCAAAACTGCCGTCCACTTTCATCGCGAAGATTTCACTTTTAGCGCAGTATAAGCACCGACGAGCAACCTCGTTACGACGAGGCGAAAACAAGAGCGGAAAAAAACGAAATTAAATGCTTTCGAAAGAGCATTTTACTTTCCTCAGTCAATGCCACCTATGTCGCGGTTATTTAACTTTTTGTTTGTTTATTTGTTTGTAATCGGAGCATTCGTATGGGCAATTGTTCAAGTTAAGGGAACGTCATCCTCGTATATGCAATTATTCGAGTTGGGGGGATGTTATTCTTGCACCACTCCATTATTCACCTTGTCGTGGTTTAGTGCACGTGGAAGCACGTGCGCATGCAACTTGCACTTCGCATTGCGAGACGCCGGCACATTGACCCAATAACGTGAACATGGAAAAGGATACATCGTTTCGCGATCTCACTTACACTGAGTATTTTATTGCTTTGCAATGTCAGTTTTGTAGTTGCGCTCATTCAGCGTTAATGACTTCGTAACACAGGGAGAACATTAATGACGGCATATCATTTATAGAGCGTCAGAACTCCGGATTCAAATCTAAGATCAATCTTTTAAAGGATACGTACCATGCCTCGAAGTTCGACTTTTTGCTGTTAAGTGACACTGATTTTCAAAATTCCTTTCCCAAGGATTTCTGATACTTCATAAATTACGACCGATTTTCAAGCTCATGAAGGCTTGTAATCAGAATTTTTCATATATTTCTTTGTCGTAGCATAAACAATAAGGCCGTCTATAGCGAATAGCGAAACTCAATTCCAACAGAACCGAACAATCAGTTTCATGAATACGGTACGTTCTGGGGTTCTTATTGCACAGTCTTTAAGGTGAAGTGAAACCCCCTTCAAATTAGTCGACTCGAATACAACACTTTTTATTTAAGGGTATTCGACCAAACTGTCCGAAACTTTGACACATGACTCGTGATCGTCTAAGAATTATCCTGATACATTCAATATTTGGATTTTTGGAAAAAATTGTTTAACTTAGTCCAGACCAGAACGAAAATGGCGTCGAGCTCTCATATTTCGATCCATATACAATTATCGAAGGCTCTGATATGAAAAACGAAAGGATCGGGACAATTTTACGACAATTTAGAACACTCTGGTGATCGATAAACTCGCATTTGAACGGAATAAAGGCAAAAAAAGTGTTTTATGCGCTTCTATGCTAAAACGATGGGAATACGAGGTCTCGGAATGAAAATTTAATTGACCTGGAAATCACAGATGGCGCAGAGGGTCCCTCTGCAGTTAGTTAGGGCCTCTGAAACCATGAATCCGGGGGATTTCTGGAGTTTTTCTTCGATTTCTTTATAATTATTGTACGAAAACGACAGGTGGAGTATGCCATTTAGTACAATACCCAATATAATTCGACACAGCTGTCGATATAAAAACGAACGTCGGCAACGTAGGCATTTAGAAAAATCTTTTTCATCGACGTTGATCAAGTTCCTCGGCGTGTTTCACTTCACCTTAATCTTTCAAAGGTGATTATTGAAATACTTCCGTAAACTGTAGGTCGATGAGCATTTCATTTTCGTAGATAAAGTAATATTTGAAAAGTCGCGTGAAATAATTATGGTCAACGGGTAGACAGAGGGGATTGACTACTTGATCGCTTATGAGAAATTTTCTCTCGGTCATTGCATCAAGGTTTTCACGGTTAATTTCGTAAGAGCATTGCAATCGGTAGTATTACAGGTCTAATAAGTCGAAACGTTCCTATTAATGCGATCTTTCTATTAAAGCAGTTTCTCTTGAGATCACGGTGGTCAGAAATCTCGAATTTGTTATTTTCATCGACTTCTTGACCAAGTTCTCGCATACTCAAATCGAGAGGAAGACGCTGTATAATACGTGTTGGGCAACGAAATTCCTAGACTCGAAAGTTTAGTTAAGAGTCAGAATCCTGGTCCCTTTTCCCGTAAATCCCCTTTAACGGCCTTGAAGCGTTGGTCCTTCTTTCATGTGAAGCAGGTCGATCTTTTTAAGGCCTTCAGGGACACGCATTCAAAGTGGACTCACCTACAACAACCTGATGATCGAGCAATAAAGATGTCTTTTACACGATCAACCGCATTCAGAGAATAATCGGAATCAAAAGTGAAACCTTTTGAAATTCGTTTATTTTTCTGAAGCTGTAAAAGTAACGCGCATGTCTAAGAAATGACCCTAGTAGAACAAAATATTTCTCTCATATTTTCTATATATTTAATGAATATCCTACATTTTTTAAATATTTAGCCGACATGTGAAATATTTCCAAAACGTTTACTTTAGAATATCAGCCTCATAATATTTGTATAATATTAGCTGCATGTGTTTTCATAATATTTTACTAACAGATATACAAAACGTTTCGTTTCATTTTAATACAAGTATTTTTTAAATATTATGTTCCGAATACATTATAAACGTTTTAAAAATGTTTAAAGTCAAGATCACACGTTTTGTTACAATAATGAAATAGCGGTACGAAAATATTAGAAAAATTTCTCGTGTTTTTTTTGTACCAAATGAAGCGCTCGATAATAATCGTGAAGTAAAAAATATATTTTTATTATATGTTCATAAATTAAAAAATATAATTTCGGTATATGTTTATTAGTTATTAAAACTAAATACGTCATTGAGATTTTCAACAAATATTTTAGATATCTTCAAATGAAATCTACGACATATCTTAAAAAATCTGACGCTTGAGATATTTAGCAAAGATTACAAAGAAATATTTAGAAATTATTCTATGCTACTAGGGGATGCTCAAAAATGCCCTACGTTAGAGACATTGAAATTTCCTATTGGATGAATTAGGTCAATCTCTTTGGAGATGTCATCGCCGAGAGAGTGATTGAGCATTAAACGCGAGTTCTTTGGGATCTGTTACTCTGTGAAATCGAAAGGAATGATTCAGCTAATATCAGTCAATGACTGTGCTCGACATCATGATTCAGGTAGAAGGAAGTGTAGCCGACATCGTGAAATGGATTTCGTCTCTCCTGTATTTGTCTCTCTAGTTATGTTTTGGTTTCAATGTGCATTTCCTCTTCGTGCGAAAAAAAAA